TCCCTTAACACAGGCAAATGAGTCATCAACCCACAGCAGCTTACAGAAGAGATAGATCCCTGTTCAGTCCTCAAAGCATGGTGTATGCAAAAAAGCACCGTGCATATGCCTCCATGAGGCTATAGGCAGTGTTAGTGGCTGCCAAACTGGATTTATTTTATTCATAGCTTCAAGTCCAGTATTATTTTAACTCCAAGAAAACACTAATGCAGGATCACTTCATAGTCAATTTGACGTCAACAAAACTGTACTTTCTTAATACTAAATTTGGCTGTAAATACTTCTGAGATGTTTCCCAAGCAGTACGCAATGATACCATCTGGTAGTTAATGATTAGTGGAATTTACAGGAGAGACATGCACATATTTAACTAACCATTTGATAGCTGGCAAACAAGTGAAGTAAAGCTAATCTTAGCTTTATCCAAAGATCACTTTTGGAACTGCCCCCCAAACAGTCCACATGGACCCAAGTTGGCGCTGAGATTAGGAAATATTAATGCTCCCACTGAGTTGAGGAATAAAAACAAACCTCTGCCCATCTGCAGATATGTAACCTTTTGAAACACAGATACAACTTCCTTATCTCCTGCTACTTTGCTCTCAGATATCCACATCAGCCTCTGCCATAGTCTTCACAAAATTCAAGCTGCAAACACAAAAATACACCATCAAGCTTTATCACTATTTCTATCCAAAGCACAATGAAAAGGACTGAAAACCTTGCATTGAAACTTGCTGGCTTGTACCTTAAACAACTGTGACAGAAAACTCACAACTCCAAAACATGATCCAAGGTGAAGCACAATCTCTTTCCTTCTCCTAGTTTCTAATCCCCAGTGTTCAAAATAACTAGGGCTGGCACTCACAGGTACAAAACAACCAGAGGTTTCATTCATTAGCTTAGAGAGTGGCAGGACAAGATGACATCCACACAGGGTAGTGGTCACAGTGTCTGCTCAGCAAACATAGGCAGGGCCTCCAAAGACAGATGGGACAGCATACAATATTGACAGCCATTTAGCTGATCAGCCAGAAAACATAGATCACCTTGTGGAACTCTGCATTTTAAAGAATAACATAATAAGACAATAAAATGACTTTATAAGCCACTGAAGTATCTTTTAAATCTCTAGTATCTAGTTGAGTATTTATGACTAATGCATGGATATGCAATGATGCAACACTTAATATGACAGTATTTGAGTACTTCAACTATTACAGTCAGCAAGGAAAAGATATGCTCTCTGATCTTGATCTTACCTAAGGGATAAGAAGGCAAAGGCATCTTGAGTCACCCAAGAGGACATGGAAAAGCCATGGTCCAGCTAAGTACTCAACAAGGCTTAGTAAATGCTCCATTAATCAAGTTGTCTTGCTATCTGGTTAGTCCTACTTTTCCACCAACAGGAGAGACACAGGCAGCAGAGCAACTTGGGAACTCAAAGGACTTGACTGTCCTTATCTGAACAGAGACAGAATTGGTCAGTACAGAACCAACGTGTTTTACACAGTCAGAGAAACCTCCCCAGAGTTCCTACAGTACAAAATATGGACTCTACTTTTTATAACATTCCACGCATCAGCACAAGTGCGACATTACAGTGTGAGGAAAAAAAGCAGGGGCCAGAGGCAACTGAAGAAATATGTATTAAAAAAAGAATACTGAGTATGCCTCTTACTGGAATCAGCATGAGTGCAAAGTTCTTTATCTTGAGTCATATCATTGTGTGATGAAGGATTTGGGAATTTCTGTATCACATTAGCGTAAGCTCCTATTTCCAGCCTTACAGAATCCTAAATTATTAAAATATCTGAGGCCAAGGCACACGGGAACCAGATTTGGATTCCTGTAATCATATCAAGTAACACATTCTGTTCAAGCTGTGCCATTGCCATCAGTGGGTGTAGCTAACAAATGAATCATTACTACAGAAGTAGAGAACTCAAATTCTAGTTTTTATAGCTACAAGTGGCCCAGATAAGAATCTCAGCATATGGACAAACTCAGAGCTGGATGCAGGAAGTGGAGGGAAATGTCCTACAAGCTGCAATACATGTGATACCCCATATGGAATGAGAAGGCAGTGATCAGCACTGAAGTCTGAGACTAAGGAAAAAATAAGTCAAAAGTAAGAGCCAGGATAAAAGCCACAGGCCAATATTGCAGCTTAGGACTTTGCTTTTGACCAGCATGGAGCCATTGCAGGTGCAGCCTGACAGAGCTCAGCAAAATGCACAGGATGATTTGTGTGTCCATGACTACCAAAGAGCTCTTTCTCACTAGACTGAGTGAAAATTCACATTCCATCCTAACAGTTCTGATACAATTATAATTTCCGCCTGGCTTTAAAGTCTGTCTATATGAGCTCTCTCAGGGAAGGTATAATTATTCAGAAACGTCTCAGAAAGAAAAGTAAGACCTCTCCTCCCTGTCAGGCTGACTGATCCTATGAACCACGTAAGGATTGCAGTCCTCACAAAATTATTCTCACAGTCTGATAGATGAAAAACATGTTTTGAGGAAAAAAACAGTATACAGAAGCTTCCTTAAACGAGATCAACTGCATTTACATCTGATGATTAACCATTTGATGGAGGAGGTTTACATGAGGCCCTGATAATAAGCGAACACACAGGATCACAAGTAATCAACTAATCACTGATTTTGGTATCTTCCCATCATTAGTTCACCTTCCCTGGAAAATTTAATTAACAGGTTTGATAATTAGTAGTTTATAGGCTGATGAAGGCCACTGAGTAGTGGCTCTGAAACTTAGAACTATGAATTCCTTCTTCCTCTTCCATAATCTAATAAAAAAGAAATCATCAAATTTTTGAGCTAAAGTGCTCTTGCATTTCTTTTCTGGTACATTTATATGCCAGAGCTTGTAAGTCATCACAGTTCGCAGCTTTAAAAACAAAGGACAAATGAAAAGAAAAAAAAAAAAAAAAAATGAGACAGCTAAGGGGAGTTATGTTCCAAAATTTCAACATTTCTGACCCCTGCACTACGAATTGGTTCAAATCTGTCTCACTCTGGGAAAAACCTAATCCACTCTCTTGGAAAGTGTATTGTCAGTAGGATTCTACTGTTTCTGAGTGGAATAAAGATTTCTAGATCTATGCCATATCAGCCTTAACAACAGAAGACTTTTATGTTTTCTAAGAGAAGAAGATAATTGAAACAAAGGCTTCTTTCAGTGCAGTGACAAAAAAGAGCATTTAAACTACACAGTGAAGAAAACTGCATGAAAAGTAAAGCAAACTGCAGAAAAATCTATATCTTTAGGAGACAAGTGGACAGAGATAATCCATTAACCATTGTTATTAAGGAAAAACAACAACAAATCACAAAAAAAAAAAAAAACCAACAGCGTCACAGCATCACCTTTAGAAAGAGACTGTTTTATTCACAGGTCAGGTCAGCCATTGTGTGTTTTCTTCCAAGAGAGTCACTCCTCTAAGCTCAGCTGTGCTATTTGAAGGGTAGGGTACATCTTTGCCAAAGGACCATCTACTCTATTCCACAGAAGTATGCACTTGGAGGGGTTCTACACTCATCTGTGTCAACTGCCCTAGCATGAATGATGAAATCAAAAGATTTTTGATAGGTCACCTGTCACAAGAACCAGGATAATATAACCACCTTTCCTTCACTACCAAAATGTCAACAGTGACATGGTCAGAAAAGAGTGCAGATCTTTGATATATTTTGCAGGTCTGAGACTTACAATCCTTACAGCTTCCTTTCCTACATGGTCAAACATCTTTCACTGTCCAAAATCCAAAGGCACGCTGAGGCAAATCAGATACGGAACAAAGAAGCCATCTTTTAAATGTCGGAAACTAAAGGTGTTCACAGGGACTAGTAGAAGGACCAAGACGGTCTAAAAAATCTGAGACACATTTTTCTCCATTGCAAGGTGTGGAAATACTACAAATTCCATCTGTAGACATTTTGGTATGAATTCCAGGTGTTCTTAATGATGATCAAGAATGCAGATTTGATTCGAAAACATTTACATTGTTCTTCGCAATAAGGAGTCAATACCTAAATCATCCAAGTCCTTTTTACTACTGACTCTTCAAAATAGGTGTCTCTTGTTCCTTAATAATCACATCTTTTTGGCCTTAAGTACAAGGCACTTATTCAGCTGTTCACAGATTCCGTACATCAACACTTTTACATACTCACGTACACTGCATTATCTAGCATGTAGTACAATATTAAGACTGATTAAAGCCCCAAATCCTAGATTCAACTACAGAAGAATACCACTGGTTTCTTTTCTCTCTCTAAAGTCAATTATTGAGCCTTCAGTGGTGGAGAAGTTTGGAAAAGCAGTGTGTGAAATAGAGGAGCCTGGAGATAGGAACTAAGTACATTTCATCTTCTGCTTTTAAGACACTCTTCCAATTTTGGATATGAACAGTTGGGAAGAGAAAAGAAAGATAGTCACAGAGCAAATTTTTAGCAAACACTTTGCACATCCTGGGCTCTCACTAGTCAGTAGAAAGAAACTGGCTCCTCAGAGGGTGATTCAAAGCAGAGTGAGTCATTCTTTCTCCCAGAGGCTTGCATAAGGAGACTGGTCAGAGTGGCTGGCTCTGTGCAAAGATTGTGTTGCAGGTTAAAGGAGCTCTCAGAAGAGTGGAAAAAGAGATGGTCTAATGATCATAGGTTTTCCACTGAAGTACTGGGGCAGTTTTTCTGTTAGTGTAAGCAGCTATACGAAAGAAGAAGTAGGTACTGTGCAATTACCAAAAGACTTGTATTAATCTCCAGAAGACACCAGCTGATCCTGGAGAAGTAAGAGGTAAAAACACAGAGATATTCACCTATAGCTCTGCAAGATACATACTACAGAATGAGTTAATCACAACCAAAATCAAGAGCATATTTATTGTTCTGGTAAAACAACCAATCTCTTCAAATTAAATACGCTTCACCTCTCTATAATATGCTAAAAGCAAACAAAGTCAGAAGGCAAAACTCACCAGTAAAATCTGCTTGGAGTGACTCTCTCATGCATGAGCTGCCATTTTCTTCCAAAGTCAGTAGAGCTGTACAGCTGAAAGACAGAGAGAAAGAGAGAGAGAGAGAGAAAGAAGTATAAACTCTGAGCAAGAAAAGGAAGAGGTGCTGCTTCATAAAGGATTAAAATCTGTTCAGATTAAAGAATAGGAAAGGATTCTACTGCACAGTTATCTATCAACCTCACTGCCAGGGATGGCTAATAAGACAATCTCCTCCTCTCAAATTTAACCTGAACTGCACCACTGAGACTAAAAACAGGTTGGCTCTTCCAAAACATTTTCAAACATTTTTGTGCTTCCTAATTCTGCTGTCAACATGTTCATTTTGGCTGCTGTTTGAGAAAGCTGGCAGTCCCCCAGCTTTTTCAGCCCAACAGGAAGCAGGTGATGGATGACATGTAAATTCCTATCATTGGTTAGAATGAAAGATAAATGAGATTAGTTAACATTCCTATGATGCGGTAGATAGTGACTTTATACTCAACACCATGCTGTGATTTGTTTTTATGGTGAGGATTACATCCCTCTCCAGTGTAAGAAAGAATATGAAATTTCTCCTAATTTACAGCTTTCCTGTACAGAACAGGCAAGGTCTACATTTTGAGGCAGGCTAGGAATCAATCTGCTCAAGTAGTTAAACATTCAGGATAATGAAGTAGAAACTTCTTGAAAACCAAATTTTCAATCTAATAATTATTCTATGTCTTTCTGGCTAGCAAAAGGTGCAGCAACCAAATTCTAATGCAAATCCAGAGAGTCTCAGATATAGGTTCACTTCACATGTACTCTGTTTAACACTACAAACACCATCCTCCAATTAGTTTATCACCCACAGTTGATTCACTCACAATGAATTCACGTGTAAGCTGTATTCCTGCAACTTTGAGAATTTTTTTTTTCTTTTTAGAAATAAATTACACTTTCAGAAATAGCTGCTCTGCTTTACAATCACAGAGAAATAACAGTGTTTTGAAGGGAACTTCAAATAAATTCCATTTGAAATAAATTCTGGTTTAATAGAATAAGGGGTGATTGCAGGCTAAGCAGGTAGATAACAGAGCCAAGAAACTTATATGCTTGTAACATTTAAACTTTAGGTTCTTAATGGCAAAATGATAACATCTGAGTTAAGGCTGTGCATTTGATTTGCAGTAGCTGGATTTACAAATAGGAGGCAGGACCATGTCCAGATTAGAAAGGTTCACAACCTCGCGATGTGAACTACAGCTATGCTATGATGGATGACTTAGTGTGTCTGGGGAGATAAACTATACGTGCTTGCACTGAATGTTGAAATTTCCTGAATGATCAGTATCTTTGACCACAAGGATCCAGCAGACACATCAGAGGAGGTCCCTAGAACAATTTACCAAAGGAAATAGGGAAGGACTGTTAAAGCAGTGTCTGCACCCTGAGGCAGCTAACTAATTTTTACTGTATTTTCACATGACCACATAGTCAAGCCTCTGCATAACTAGAAAAAGGAAACTCAAAAAGAGTTTCAAACATCTACTACAGCTAGTTCTGCAAAGACAAAAGAATCAGATCTTTGCTTTTTTGCAAATGGAGAAAATTTCTGATACTGATAGCTCAAAGCTGCCAGTGAATAAAGCATATCACGGAGAAGAGTAGAAGCAGGTGTCCTCCAATCTTCACATCAAAATGAGCTCCAGTTCTGTAGACTTCAGCCAACATTGTTCGGCTTGTGGTAAGAATTATTAGGAAAGATTTTCTGATCTGTGTTCTACAGGAGATCAGACTTCCTATCTGGCTTTATTTCTTTGGCATTGTCACCAGATAAGATACAGGACTATATAACTACTGTTATCTGGACCTCCTCTCCGTTTTTAGTTACCCATGACGGTAATAGTTAAAAAAAAAAAAAAAAAAAAAAAGTGAGTAGAGAAACCTCTGCCCCCAAAATAATAATCCTTAGACACAAAATAAAGCATTGCTTATCTTTTTTCTTTTTCTTTTTCTTTTTTTTTTTTTTTTAATTAAAGGAATAAGGAAAAGAAAATTCCTTATCTGAACCCAAGAATAGACTCATGAATTCAACTTCAATATTAAAATAACTACCTTCTGAGGGAACATCCTGATTAACATTGTTCTTATAGAGAATTATTGAAAATTCACATTACAGAAGTAAAATTGGACAGTGCTACAACTTAACATTAGCCTGGTACCTGCCAACAATATTCCTTGTGTCATTTAACATGGTTTCACATGGACTCACATACAAGGACTTGTACACACAGACTAGTCACATCAGTCACATGAAAAAACTTCTCCTGGCTAACCTGACCGCATGCACAATTTGCAGACTGATCCATAATGCTTTACAAATCATAGCCTCAGTAACTCCTGTTCATAAGTAAGTGGGACCAGCAATCTTATTGTATTCTGCAACAGATTAACCATTCTCACGAAGAGCACAAAGGATTAGCAAACTATATCCATTTCCTCAGATTCTCTTTTATCTTTCGCCCCTAGCATTTCTTTTTCTTTCACAGCTCCTTAACAGCAGTAGCTACAGATAGCTCAGTGGCAGGAGGCACAATCTCTTTCTAGCTACTCACCTCTCCCACTGTGCCTCATTCAGGGAACATCGTTCTCTCTATCAAGCTAAAAACCAGAGACCAACTACTGAGTATTTTTTCCCTTCTTTCTATTAAATCTCAGGCTGACTGATGGTAAAAAGATTAAATTGAACTTGCAGCCTTTAGGTGATTTCAGACAGAGAGATAAGGAGGATATTTATTCATTGAACCTTCTAGTACCTGGCATGGCCCTTCTGTCCACCTACACATCCACTCAGCCCCTGGGCACCCTACCTGCTTCATGGATCTCCTTTCTTATTTTCTGTCTGTTTGTCTTGGAAAAAGTCTTTGACCAGATACCCTTAAAGAAGCAGACGCTCTTATATATTCTGATACTATTAATTTGAATAACTTGTATTTATTTATTCATCTGTTTATTTTAGGCATCCACTTCGAATTCTAGCCAGATGGCTGAGTCTTAAAGCTGCTTGTTGTATGATAACAAACTCTTGAAGGGTATACTCAGACCAATTTACTTGCATAGTATTATATACAGATACAAAAGTTAATATTGAATAAATACTCACTGAGTATTTAATACAATAGTGAATAAAACTCCCAATAAAGACCTTTCTGGTATGCATTAAATTTTATCGTATATATGCTTTCCATTCCTCTCCTTTCATGGGAGAAAAGATAATTTTAGATGAGACAACAAATTTAGTGGCAAGTACAGCAGATTTCAGTAGAGATTAATTTGACCTAAGGCTGAATACCAAGTGATGGAAGGAAATGAGGTTTGCATGGTGCCAAGATTTTCCTTTTTTAAAGCTCTGCCCTGACTCCTCAATGATTAATAATCTTTGGCATTTCCACCTCCCAGACCATTCCAACACATCAGCTCGCAAGACAGATGGATTTCAGTGTACCATGAGTGTATACCCTTTTGCAACTATCATGTGTTATTTGACCCGTGCTGATTAATGGAAAATTAATCCAATTACAGGTCATAATATTTGGATGGGCTGATCCAAATACTTGGTTCTTCTGCCTTGACACAATTGAAGAGGGCCATGCAGAAGCCTTGACTAAGGAGCAATTTAGAAGCAGAACACAAAGGAGAAGGACTAAGTCCTGGTCTATAGCAAGTGTGACAAAATTCAATTTTTAATGCAAAGATAAACTCACCATCCTACACCCACCGCAGAAGAACCTCAGTAATCACCACCACAGCACATGGCCCACCCCAGCAACTGCTATTTGAATAAGCAGCTGCCAAAAGCAGACTCCTTCAAATTCCAGTAATGCTTGCAACATTTCCTTTAATAGAGACTTTGTTTTTCCTGAGATAAGCAGCAGGACCTTTAAAAAGGCAGCTTTATCCCTGATGTCACATTCTAGGCCATGAACATGTACAACATGCCAGAAACAGTCAGAACCACTCAGCTAGAAAGATTTATACATGCACACAGTGTTGCATATGAAAATAGTCTCCATGTTCTTTTAGGAAGTTCTCCAGTAGAAACTCTCAGGATGGCACACAACTTTTGCTTGCACGATCTTCTTTGAGGCTAGGGTCATTTGTTTTGGGTGCTTTCTTTTCTCAGTAATAGCTAGAAAAAAAAGTAGATAAGCTCAAGCCCAGGTTCTCAAAACAGAAGCAGTAGGAGAAACTGGCCGATTTAAATGCCAATTGAAGAGATGGGGAAAAATTGAGCAAAGAAGGAAAAGCCTGGAAATGGAGCAGATCAGTCCCCTAACATTAGTTGCCCATATGCTTGTCACACATGAGCTAGTCACCAAGAGTCATTTTTAGACAAGCAAGAAACAGACGCCTTCCAAAGCTCAACTCCTAAACCAAGATAGATTTCTAAAATGGCTGATCACTCCTGCCTAAGAAACCTTCATTTATAAAAACTAAAAGTAGCCCACACTGACTAGTGCAGACAGAGGTACCCCCTCTGCAGATTGCACATTAGGTTCCTTGTACCCACATTGACTTGCCTGGACCTCAATGGGGAAGTATGCAGAAGACTGAAGATTCAATAGGAGGTAGGAAAGGGCCAGCATACACTTAGCACAGCAAAAACACTCACAATGTCACATCTATTGCTTCTCAATCAACAGACTAAATAAATTCATAGAAATTTGATATTGATGTTCTTTCTTGCTCAAACACAGAAGAATTAGGGCTTCAGGAACATATATAAAAAGCCAATATCCAAATAAAATCACTCTGTTGCTATGAAATCCGTACTATTGACCTGAGCAAACATCTGGAAAGAATCTCAATAGTTCCATGCCTGCCAGCCAACCATTTGGAGCTTGCAAATAATGATGCCAGATAGAGTGAGCAAGAACAGCTGGATTACATGCACTTGCAAGAACAATTCATTTACTATGCACAAAATGATGCTTCCTTCCTCAAGACAATACATCCAGCTGATGATGGCAGAGTGAAAGTCAGCCCAGGGTAATTACTGGGCAGCAGCTGA